AATACTTCTTCAAGCTCTCCTTGACTCAAGGGTTTGTGTTGAGAAGTCTGCTGTGATACTGTGTTGTTTTTGTTTTTGTTTTGTATTGGGAATCTAACTCAGGACTTGTGCTTGCCAAGTAGGCGTTTGCTGCTGAGTTATCCCCAGCCTTATGCTGTGATTCTGATGGGCTTTTTTTTTCTTTTTGAGACAGGGTCTCACTATGCAGTTCAGGCTGGCCTTGGGCTCACTTTGTAGCCCAGGCTGGTCTCGAATTTGCAATGATCTGCCTGCCTCATCCTCCCAAGAGGTGGGATTACAGGAGAGCGCCACCATGCCCAGATAATGGGCTTTCTTTTACAGATGATTTGTTTCTTTTCTTTAACAGTTTTTAATATTCTATTGTTGTGTTGAATTTCTGGAATCCTGGTTGTTATATGGCTTGTGGATTTTTTTTTTATCATGATTAACTGAAGTTCTATATGCTTTTATTTTTTTGCCTCAAATATCTGTATGTTAAATTCCTTTTCTATGCTTGTGAAGTTTTCTGCTATTACTTATGTAAACAGGTTTTCCTTTTTTTTTTTGTCTTTTTCGGTTTTTTTCTATCGGTACCAAGGATGGAACTCACGTTTGCCTGCTTACAAAGCAGGCGCTTATGCCGCTGAGCTAAATCCCCAGGCCCGTAAACAGGTTTTTTTTTTTTTCTGTTTTTTTTTCTTTTTTATCGGTACCGGGAATCAAACTCACGACCGCCTGCTTGCAAGGCAGGTGCTTATGCCGCTGAGCTAAATCCCCAGCCCCCCGTAAACAGGTTTTTAAATGTCATTTGTACTATGTCCTGCTTTTTCATTGATTCTGATCAATCTTATGTCATTCTTTTTTGCATCTTCTAGCCACTGTTGGATTGATTTTTTGTGGTTTTGTGCTTTTTTAAAGACATCCTTCTTCTTTTCATTATCACTAACTGCAATCACATCTTCTATAAGTATTTTCGCCTCACATTGGCTCATTGTTCTGTGTATATTTTCAATGGAATTTTTAATCTCCTGGATATCTGTTTGAATATTTGTAGATTCTTTTTCTTTCTTATGTTGTGCATTCATGTTTTCCATCATTTTTGTAAGATCCTCTATTTTTTTTAATCTGTATCTGCTCTAAAGTCACTAACTATGTCTTTCGTTATGGTGACCATCACTAGTTGATTGACTTTTGGGTTTTGAGTCTGTTACAAGGTACCTCTTCTATTTATGGGGAATGGGAAGTTGCTGCCTATTTGGCCTAGGCCCTGGTTCTTTGGCACTGGCCTATGGTATTGTCTATGAGCCTTAGTATCTTAGTTACTTTTTACTCTTTGCTGAGACAAAATACCTGAAGCCCAAAATTAGGGAAGGAAAGATTTATTTCTTACAGTTCTTGGAAGTTTCAGTCCATACTCAGTTGGCTCTAAGGCAGGGTGGCATGGTGGGCTACAGTTCATGGCTGCTGCAAACAGCAAGCACAAACTGGCAAGAGGGAGGGACACACCTCCTACCTGCCTTTACATCATATCCTGGCTCTGCGCCTGGGCAGGTGAAACACTCACATCACTAATCCAAGCACTAGACAACGAACCAATCACAAACGCTTGATTTGGTCACATCCATAATTCCATGAGGCATGGGGGCCACTGGCATAAGCCATGACATTTAGTTAATCTCCATCTTAGCATATCAGGAAGAACAACTGATTAAAACCATTATGTCACCTTTGGTAAAGTAGTACAGTCAGCAATAACAACAGCAATGAAACACAGCCTAGAAAATGGCAAGCTGTGGTAACTATTAACTTGCCACCTTTAACCGTATGAACAAGATTCATGATTGTAACAAAATCTAAAATGAATCAGAAGAGGCTGGGGACATAGCTCAGTGGTACAGAACCACCTGGCAAGTGTATGAGTTCGATTCTCAGTACAAAACAACAACAACAAAACCTCTCCAAAACCAAAGTAAAAAAAAAATCCCCAAAATTATATACAGGACCTTCAGGGGAGAAAATTTAAAAGAAGTTTGGGGGAATACAGAGAAAGAAAAGACAAGAAATTAGAAGCAAGGCTGGAAGACAAAGGAAGATCATGCAAACTTTGGGAAACTGGTACAGAAGACAGGAAAGAAAGAAAGAAGGCAGAAATAAAAACAAGAAAAAAACAACAATGACAACAACAAAACTAGAAACCATGTTCACAGTCAAATACAAACATGAATAACTAAAAAAAAAAATAAAAACAAAACAAAACAAAAAAAGTGGGGAGGCTGTGGCTGTGCCAGGGAGAGAACCATTAGTGACTCTTGAGATCTCTGCCATGTTGGAACTTAGGGCGCTGGGAAACCAAGCAACCAGCTCGTCCCCCTGGCAAGTAGTAGTGAGTCTACCAGCACATGGGCTGAGAATCAACATCCTCCACCCTCCATTTGCAAATGGGAGCCAGAGATCTGAGCATCTCTTGGGAGGCTGATCATATGCAATATAGCAAATAAGGGTGATTTCCTTCTATCATCTCTTTGAAGGCAAATATTTTTACCACTATTTTGCTTTATTCTGATTAATGGTACTCCCTCTAGTCAATACTGTTCTGATAAGTTCTATAATGTTCTGTATTTCATTTTATTTTGCTATATCTGATTGAAAGGACAACTATTGTGAAGATAACGAGATATACTGTGGTACCTATTACTGTTATCCTGGTAATCTGCTGTGAAGTTCTGTACCAATTTCACTACCCTGTCCAAAAAAAAAAAAGTCCATTCAAATCATGTCTCTGCAAGGCTGGGGATTTAGCTCAGCGGCATAAGCGCCTACCTCGCGAGCACATGGTCTTGAGTTTGACCCTCGGTACCAATAAAAAAAAAAAAAAAAAAATCATGTCTCTGCTATTACTGGTAGACTGTCGCTGTGAGGACCTGGGCCTGTAGGAAGTGGTGCAGAGTCACGGCGGGAAGAAATCACACCGGAGACCAGGCTGATGGCACAGATCCAAAATTTAATGTGCAGGCCTGTCCTCTTATATACGCAGGGATAAGACCTGGATGGACGCAGTGCCTCAATGGCATCCCTGGAAGGGTTAGGGACGCTTCTGGGGGCGGGGCCGGAACAGGGCTGCATCTGGCAGGGCGAGTCTCTTGGTCTGGGAGAACACTCCAGGTCCGAGTCTGCTCAGACCCTCTCCTCTGCCAGGGCCGTCAATCAGACCTCTGGACCTTTACTCCCCATAGTAAACAATGTGGCCAGATACACAGTCCATATTTGAGTTGATTAATCCCAAGGAGCCAGCTGTAGCTTTATGGAAGCGTGGTGCATAATCCCAGTAAGCCTGCACCTTTAATTCCATTGAAGTTCAGGCTGATTTCTTCCTTTGAGGCTGTAATCTAGTTTTTCATCCTGCAGCACTCCTCCTCACTACTCTCTCTCTTGAGAAACAAAGCTCTTGGAGACTTGCATACATCAAAACTACGCATTGCTAACTGGAGGGCTCTGAGTTTCTTTTCCCTCTTCAGTCTACCTCGACTCCCACTCACCTCCCTGATTGATACCAACAAAAGCCATGAACTTTTGGAGAAGAGGCCTTTTGTTCTAAAGCGAGAATACTGGGCCATTCCAGAGCTCCTCAACTGCAGAATATTCTTTTTTTTAAAAATCAGTACTGGGAATCGAACTCATGAGCACACGCTTGCAAGGCAGCACTTATGCCCCTGAGCTAAATCCCCAATCCCAGAATATTCTTTTGCATCTGTGTGCCATATTGCTGGGTGAGTTAGACTGATACTCTCATTAGGAGTTTTGGTATCTTTCCTAGCAGACTTGTTACTAAAAGGCCATAAAATGTCCCAATTAAGAGAGTAAACAAGAGATCAGCGAATCTAGGAAATGTTTAAATAATCAATTTTTAAAAATCATGCCTGTAAATGAGCTGGTATCCTTTTGGGGAGGGACTCTTGCTTTTCCCAAAGCCAGCCTCAACAAAGTCTTTTGCTGTTCATTGGGATTAGCCATGGGCAATGATTCAGTTGACAGGCCCTTGGCTGACACATGAAAGCAGACTTTACTCCCTTAGGTTTTTGCCAGCACAGCTTATGAGACCATACCAGGTGCTGGTGCTCATGTGTATAAAAATATCACTCAACTTTCCAGATTCGTGTGTATAGCTCACATGCTCTCGACTGACCCGTACCACTCCTTGTCTGAGACCTAGTGCCAATGACTTTGCCCTTCTGATGACAAGGACACAAGAAACACAGGACAGCTGTCAACAACAGTTACCATGCTTAGGAGGTGACTGGTGATTAGAACATTTAAAAAAAAGTCTGTACCATGGGCTTAATGGACCGGTCTTTACATTTTGCCGCGCATCCTGAAGATGTATGGGGGTGGCACGCATTTGGACCCCTCACACTGGGAAGGGGACTCGCAGGTTGATCCTGCCATAAGAGGCATCAGGCAGATGCTGGACATCAGCACGCCAGCACTCTTCCACAAGTACGTGGCAGCATGGGAAACATGGTTGCACGTTTCCTGTCCTTTGGGATTCTGTGCTTTGGTATCAACACTCCAGGAACTCATACAGGAGGGATTTAGTTCCTTTGAGGTAGTGCTTGTTCGGTCTCTTGCTCGGCCCTTTATGTAGCCAGTCTTTTTGTTTGTTTTTGTCAGTACCAGGGATTGAACTCATGACCCCCTGCTTGCAAGGCAGGTGCTTATGCCGCTGAGCTAAATCCCCAGCTATGTAGCCAGTCTTCCACAGTGCGCGTGGGTCTGCATCCGGTCCACTTGCGGACCTGAAGGAATTCTCACGGCCTGTATTCGTTTGCCTAGTCACGCCACTCCCTCATCCGTGGCCCCAAAGGAAACTTACACCTTGTAAGAGGGACAAGACACCTACTACGGACTCGCGCAGTAGCTCTACGCGGTGCTGAGTACGCCTTTATAAGCAGCAGGAGGTGGGTGGGGCCTGCTGGCGACGTGACGCGATGACGTCAGGCGTACGGAGGTGGGGCTGCTGGCGGCGTTGCTCATTTGATCCCTCAGGTCTCTGTCCTCCATCCTCCGCTCTGCTGCTGGCCAGCTCCCGCCGCCCGGCGTCCGCGGCTTGGCCTTGCGCCCTCCTTTTGGGACTGCATTCGGCCATGGGCCCGCTCCCGCCGCGCCGTCGGGCCGGGGGCCGCTGAAGCGCGGTGCCAAGATGGGCGAGGGCGGAGTAGGGCCCGAGCGCCAGCCCAAGCAGCCCGGGTGCCCCGCGCGCGCCCGCCCGCGTCGCCGCGGGGATGCCCGCGCCCGTCGCCGCGCCCTGAGCGCCTTTGTCTGTTGCCCGCGCCGCCCGCTGCACCCCTAGCTCGGCAGACGCCGGAGCATGGAGCGGGGCTGGCCCCCTTCCCCACCGGGCCCAGAGGAGCCAGTGCGCGGGGACCCTCTACCTGAGGCGCGGCCCGCGGAGCCCGAAGACTGCGTGCCCGGCCGGCGCGGCCTGCCCCCCGGGGCGTCGCGTGGGGTGGGCGAACGACTGCTGGCACGTCACGAGCCGCCCTCGGACCCGAACCTGAATACGCCGCTCTCCGGAGATCCCGCAGCCACCTCGGAGGATGGTGCGCGCCTCCGCGCTGTGTTCGACGCCTTGGACGGGGACGGGGACGGTTTCGTCCGCATAGAAGACTTCGTCCAGTTCGCCACGGTCTACGGGGCGGAGCAGGTAACGGGCCGGCAGGGCAGCGCGGGTTCTGGGCATGTTTGCGGGAAGAGGGTCTGCTTGGAGAAGCCAAGTCGCCCTCCACCGGCGCTACAGTTGCTACCTCTTCTGGAGAGAGAGATAAAGTGGAGGACCTCAGAGGCCAGACTGGTAGATGACTGTTTTGGACACGGTCACTTTACTGTGCATCCTTGTTGTATTAGATTCTTCTGAATTCGAGGCCGCGCTCGCAAAAATAAAGACGTTCAGTTCTGTGCCTTCCATAACAGGGATAGGGACGATAATAAGTTGGGGTGCCCAATGACACTTGCCAACTCTAGCAAAACTCGCATAGGGGTCTTCACTCCTGGTTGAAAAGTGAACTGTGCAGCCAGCGACAGAGGCGCCGGAGGCACTGTGGGTCCCACTCTGCCCGAGGCTGTGGGGGAAGCTGACCAGGAGACCCCAACCTTCCTGTCGCCCGCAAGCACCCTCTAGTCTTGGTGGAGGTGAAGGTGGAGCTGTGAGTGCTCCATTTATAACCTGGAGACATCAAATAGATTACCATGTTCAATGTTAAATATTTTAGTGGTAGGAAATCCTTGAAGTGCTGACCTGCTAATTTTCATGTTATTCGTTTCTCACACGCAAGCAGACATTTGTTAAGTGGGTGTTCAAGTACATGTGCATGTTTGAGCCAAGAAGTCTGTAAGACAAGAGGTATAATTGATGCACTGCACTGACTGCTATTTGGGATGTCAATCACAACATTAAGAACCCTTATAAAGGACCCATTTGTCCCCTGAATATTTACAGTATCCATTGAGCAGTTGGTATGAAGACCAGACTCTGATATTCAGTGCTCCGCTGTTTGTTGAGTTTATACCTGGAAAGATGTGTAAGTGCCTGCAGCTTCCTGGACATCCATGTTTAGGCAGGTAGGGCTCTAATTCTTAACTCTGGGCTGGAAGAGATTGTTGGGGTAGGTTCAGTGGGAAATAGCTACGTGCCTGATGATTTCCTGTGTGATTCAAGTGAGTTGTGGTTGCTGGTCCAGCTTCTTTTTCGTTTTTCCTTCTTCTCTTGGGGTGGAGAGTGCCTTGAGTTAATGGTAGCTTACTACTGGGAAGTGTCTTCTCTGCATACTTCCCTTATTACACTAGTTAGATACTCAGGCCAATGCTACATTTATGCTTTTCTTATCATAATCTGACTCTACTCACTTGTATTTTCAGTGACTCGTTGACACTGTTCTCTGAAGTGGGAACTAGGCAATCAGGTTTCATCTCCACTTTATAGGAAGCTCAGAAAGATTAAATAGCTATCTCCAGGCTCCACAGTAGGTCTTTGGCTCCTTACTTGGAGATGGCTCCTTTTATTTTATTATTTATTTGTTTTTGTCTTTTTGAGACAGAGACTTGCTTTGCAGTTCAGGCTGGCCTTGAGCTTACTTGGTAGCTCAGGCTGACGTTGAACTTGCAACAAGGATCCTCCTGCCTCAGCCTCCCCAGTGCTGGGATTATAGGCATGTGCTACCACGCCTGTCTCATGGCTCCTTTTAGATGTGTGGTTTAGACTGGTCCTACCAAGCTTCACTTTTTTTCGACTTCCACAAAACTCTTTGAGGAACATCTTTTGCTATAATGTTCCTAGTTGATCACAGTGGGAAAAACTTTAGATTGCTTTTTGAGACTGAGCTTTCTTGCAATTATGAAATAGAAATAGGTCAGAAGCTGAGAATGGTTGTACATGCCTGAAATCCCAGCACTTGGAAAGCCAATTCAGGAAGATCACCCTGAATTTAAGGCCAACCTGGGCTCTACATAAAGAATTCAAGATGAGCCTGAGCTACATAGTGAGACTTTGTTGCAACCCCCCCTCCCAAACAAACAAACCCCAAAAGAGAAACACTAAACAATAAAAATGGATCCTTATCACTTTGCCTCAAACAATAAAAATGGATCAGAATTCTATGGCTCCTAGAGGGTTTAAAGTTTGGGGAGGCCCAGGTGATTCAGGGTTTAGTGGGAATGGAGTGTGGAGAGATGTCCTATGGCATGGCTCCTCTGCTTCTGACTCCTCTGGAAGCAGCAGTGTTGGACTGATCCAGGTGCTTGGATTTGACTAGCTTTCAACAAGAGTGGAGGAGATCTCTTGATTTCTTTAAGCTGTCTTAGCTATTATTTTGTAGCAGATATTGTGCAGAGTAATGACAGGCTGTTTTTGTGTGTGTGTGTCCATGTAAGTATTGATACAAATGAGTTGGGCTTGCTTTTCTCCACGCCCAAGTGAGAGTACATAATAGAGAAGGGGACAAGAAATATTTGCTAATGATGAAATAGTTTAAACTGAAATATTCTGCTTATAGTTGAATATTTTAAAACTTTTAAAATGAAACATGTGAGCTGGGCGTGGTGGTGCATGTTTCTAATCCCAGCACTTAGGAGGCTGAGGCAGGAGGATTACTGTGCATTTGAGGCCATCATGGACCACATAGTAAGTTTAAGGCCAGCCTATCCTACATAGAAAGACCTTGAAATAAGCAAAACAAAACCCATACAAAAGTAGAGTAGTGTAGTGAGGCCCCCCTCTACCCAGCCCCCATGTTTCATGAATCAGTAAACTATCATCCAGCCTTGAACTTCCTTCTTAGCCTAGACTGACCTCCAACTCCCAGTCCTTTTTGCCTCTGCCTCCCAAGTGCTGGCATTAAAGACATGTGTCACAGGCCCAGCTTCCATAACTATCAAACTGATTCTAGGCATTGTGTATTATTTCATCTTAAAAATCTCAGTATATACCTGCAAATGAGAAAGAATGTTTTTTTTTGTTTGTTTGTTTTTTGAGACAGGGTCTCCCTATGTAGCTCAGGCTGACCCTGAACTAACAATGTAGCTCAGGCTGGCCTTGAACTTGTGGCAATCCTCCTGCCTTAGCCTGAGTGCTGTGATTACAGGGGAAATTTTCTTTTATATTTTTATTTTTGGCAGTACTGAGAGTTGATTCCAGGACCTCATACTTGCTAGGAAAGAACTCTACTGATGAACTATATCACCAGCTCCTTTTTTTTCTTTCCAGCTTTTTTTTTATTTTTATTTTTTTAAATTTTGAGACAGGGTCTTACTAGATTGGCATGAAACTTTTGGTCCTCCTGCTTTAGCCTCTGGAGTAGCTGGGATTAAAGGTGTGGACTGCCACAGTGGGTTTTAGAATTTTTTTTCTTTTCATCTGATACTATGAATTGAACCCAAGGCCTGTGCATTGATTATATCCCCAGCCTTTCAAACAGTTTTATTTTGAAGACAAGGTCTTGTTCAATCATTAAGTTGCACAGGCCAAGCTGGAACTTTTGATCCTCCTCCCTCTGCTATCCAGACTGATGGGATTACAGACCAGAAGCATGTCCCCAGTTTAGGACTTTTTTTTTAGTTTTGTTTTTGAGATGGGATTATAGATGTGGACCACTAGGGTCCTTTTTTTTTTTTTTTTTTTTTTGTCTTTTTGAGACAGGATGTTGCCTTGCAGTTCAGGGTGGGTGGCATTGAGTTTGTGGTGACTCTCCTGTCTCAGCCTTCTGAGTGCTGGAATTACAGGCTGGTGCTACCATACCTGGCCAGAATTCTTTTTAAACATTTGTGACTTTTTAGAATCCCAAGGGATGTTCAGATAAGCCTGATGATAACAGTGAAGATTATAAGTTTCTGTACTTTCCACCAAAATACTGATTGTATGACAGACTGTGGCCAGTCATGTTGCTGACCTTGGTGATAACAACTAGATTATCTTGGTATGTGCCTTATTTTCAGAGATTGCATGTCCTTGGGGCTGGCTTATCCAGTGTTTTTTATGTAACCTGTTTATGAAAGTAACATTTTAAATTATTTAAGTGGGTTATCTGAATTTTTAATAGGACAGCTTCATTTATCATACAGGTGCAGTGGTGTCCCTGTTTCTTTAGCAGTGTCGTGGTGTGTTTGGATCTCATTGTATCATTTGGTGGTGGGTCTCATGTGGTGTGACATAACCCACTGTTATGTCACAGGAATCAGCAGGTAAAAGGTGAAGGGGAGCCACAATGGAGCAGAACTTTATAGTTATGTGTCCAAGCAGCTGATGTGGAGTTGGAATAGGCTGCATTAAAAACCCCCACTGTCTCTGACATAAACCTCCATGATGAGAAAAGGCCCTGATGCCTTTGTTGTCACCACCAACATATTAAAAGTGGAGATTGTAAAATAACTTCTAAGTGTTGTAAGGCAGAATCGGTTCCTCTTAAGACAAAATTATTTTTTTGTTGCTGTTGTTGTTTTGAGACAGGGTCTTACTATGTGGTACAAGCTGGGCTTGTACTCATTATGTATCCCCGACTGGTCTAGAATTTGTGATCCTCCTACTTCAGCCTTCTGAGAGCTGGGGTTATAGGTATGTGCTCCTACTTCCTGCAAGAAAAATTTATTTATAACGATTATCTTCACATTTTATTTTAGAATCACTTAAGAATTTGCATTTTGACAGTTACTGCTCTTTTCTAGAAAACTTTACTAATTGGAGTGCCCTTTGGTAATGGTGGTAGACCATCTTCAGTACAGTAGTCTTCAAAAGAGAGGGGTTGTAGAGAAATCTCCTTGCTTTTCATCTGTAGTGGTAGCAGTGGGTAATTCCCAGGGATGTCTCTGTTGTTGCTCCAGTGTTTTGTTTTGTTTTTGTCTTTTTCCTTTTTATCGGTACCAGGGATCGAACTCATGACTGCCTGCTTGCAAGGCAGGCGCTTATGCCACTGAGCTAAATCCCCAGCCCCGCTCCAGTGTTATTTGAAGTCTGTCTTAGCCTTGAATTAGGGTGGCTGTGACCCTATGAATGAAGGAGTGTAGTGAGCTGGGGTATGTGTTGATACATTTGTGTGGGGAGGTGTGTGCAGGACTGGGATGTGTTTGTGGGTGGCATGTATGTGTGTGTGTTGAGTAAGTGTGTATATCTCTGGATACATATATATATATATATATATATATATATATATATATTTA